CAGGCTCTGGAATGGGCTGCCCAGGGAGGTGGTTGAGTCCCCATCCCTGGAGGTATTTAAAAGAAGGATAGATGAGGTGCTTAGGGCCAGGGTTTAGTGGTGGGATGGCAGTGTTAGGTTAAAGGTTGGACTCGATGATCTCAAAGGTGTTTTCCAACCAAAGTGATTCTATGATTCTATGATTCTAGGCCATCTATTCCAACGTAGCAGGGTTCTTATGTCAGAAAGCCTTTCTTGATACTTCATGCAAATGTTCTTCATTCGAGGTAAACCCGTTATTTCCTGTGTTTCCTGAACAAGTTTTTTCCCCTTCCTGTTTGCGCTTTCTATGTGTACTGTAGAAACACTATAACTTTCCCCTTTTTTGGTGAATGAAAAACTGGACAGGAGCCGGCAATGTGTGCTTGCAGCCCAGAAAGCCAATTGATCCTGGGCTGTGTAAAAAGAAGCATGGCCAGCAGGTTGAGGGAGGGGATTCTCCCCCTCTGCTCTGCTCAAGGCCCCACCTGGAGCCCTGCATCCAGCTCTGGGATCCCCAGTACAAGAAAGACATGGACCTGTTAGACCAGGTTCATGAAAATGATCGGAGGGCTGGAACACCTCTGCTATGGAGAGAGGCTGAGCCAGTTGGGGTTGTTCAGCCTGGAGGAGAGAAGGCTCTGGGGAGACCTTATTGCAGCCTGTCAATATATAAAGGGGGCTTGTAAGAAAGATGGAAAAAGGCTTTTTACCAGGCCCTGTAGTGACAGGACAAGGGGCAATGGTTTTAAACTGAAAGAGGGTAGATTTAGATTGGACATAAGGAAGAAATGTTTTATGCTGAGGCTGGTGACACTTAAAAACCACTGGAACAGGCTGCCCAGAGAAGCTGTGGATGCCCCATCCCTGGAAGTGTTCAAGGTCAGGTTGGACGGGGCTTTGAGCAACCTGCTGTAGTGGAAGGGGTCCCTGCCCATAGCAGGGGGGTTGGACTAGATGACCTTTAAAGGTCCCTTCCAACCCAAACCATTCTGTGATTCTGTGAGTCTATTTCTTCTCTCTTTTAGGGTAAACAACCTCACTTTATTCTGGTTTTCCTCATACAGCGTGTTTTTTAGATCTCTTGTAATTCTTTATGGTTCTTCTGAATTCCGTTCAGTTGGTTCACATTTGAAATATGTTTTACAAAGATAGAGATGATTCTCATCAGAGTCTTACCAGTGTACTTCATCACTTTGAGTGAGGAAATGCTGCAATTCTTAAAAAACTAATATCTGTAATATAGCAAAGTATCACTCACCTATTCTACCGGTTGCATTGTTCCTAGCATGGCTAGTAACAATGGTTTCAGTAATAAACTAATGCAGGTAAACTGGGATGATTTATAATATGGTTCTATAGAAGTTCATAGGGAGAATCAGAAACCATCCTGGGAGGCAAGAAAGATGATGAACAGCGCTTAGCTGAATGTGAGCTTCAAAAGAGGGCTGTATTCCAAATGGCTAAGGTGATCTTTGGATATAAAACCAGAATATTAATTTCAGTGATTTCATAGCTCTTCCAAATTTGAAACATTACACCAAGACTCCTTTTTGAAACCACTGCAGCAACACCGTGCCTAATTCTTATTTCTGTGATTCAGTAAAAGCATTGAAAAATGGTGGAGGTTTGTGGTGGGTTGATCTTGGCTGACCACCAGGTGCCCATCAAGCCATGCTATCACTCCCCCTTCTCAACAGGACAGCGCGAGAAAATATGATGAAAAAGCTCATGGGTTGAGGTAAGGACAGGGAGGTTACTTACCAGTTACCATCATGGGCAAAACAAACTTGACTTGGGGAAATTAATTTAATTTTTGACAATTAATTGTAGCAGACTAGGATAGTGAGAAGTAAAACAAAACTAAAACCACCTTCCCTCCATCATCATCCCTTCCCAGGCTCAACTTCACTCCTAAATCTTCTACCTCCTCCTCCCTCCGAGGGGTGCAGGGGAATAGGGAATGGGGATTGCACTCTGTTCATAACACTTTGCCTCTGCTGCTCCTTCCTCCTCACATTCTTCCCCAGCTCCAGCGTGGGGTCCTTCCCATGGAATACAGCCCTTCACAAACTTCTCCAACTTAGGTCCTTCCCATGGGCTGCATTTTTTCAAGAACTGCTGCAGTGTGTGTCCTTTCCACGGGGTACAGTCCTTCAGGAATGGACTGCTCCAGCATGGGTCTCCCGTGGGCCACAGGTCATGCCAGAAAACCTGCTCCTCCGTGCACTATTCTCCACAGCCCACAGTTCTTGCGAGGAGCCTGCACCAGTGGGGGCTCTCCAGGGGCTGCAGCTTCCTTCAGGGCACATCCACATGCTCACGTGCAGGGTCTTCCATGGGCTGCAGTGTAGATGTCTGCTGGACTAGATGACCTTTAAAGGTCCCTTCCAACCCAAACCATTCTGTGATTCTGTGAGTCTATTTCTTCTCTCTTTTAGGGTAAACAACCTCACTTTATTCTGGTTTTCCTCATACAGCGTGTTTTTTAGATCTCTTGTAATTCTTTATGGTTCTTCTGAATTCCGTTCAGTTGGTTCACATTTGAAATATGTTTTACAAAGATAGAGATGATTCTCATCAGAGTCTTACCAGTGTACTTCATCACTTTGAGTGAGGAAATGCTGCAATTCTTAAAAAACTAATATCTGTAATATAGCAAAGTATCACTCACCTATTCTACCGGTTGCATTGTTCCTAGCATGGCTAGTAACAATGGTTTCAGTAATAAACTAATGCAGGTAAACTGGGATGATTTATAATATGGTTCTATAGAAGTTCATAGGGAGAATCAGAAACCATCCTGGGAGGCAAGAAAGATGATGAACAGCGCTTAGCTGAATGTGAGCTTCAAAAGAGGGCTGTATTCCAAATGGCTAAGGTGATCTTTGGATATAAAACCAGAATATTAATTTCAGTGATTTCATAGCTCTTCCAAATTTGAAACATTACACCAAGACTCCTTTTTGAAACCACTGCAGCAACACCGTGCCTAATTCTTATTTCTGTGATTCAGTAAAAGCATTGAAAAATGGTGGAGGTTTGTGGTGGGTTGATCTTGGCTGACCACCAGGTGCCCATCAAGCCATGCTATCACTCCCCCTTCTCAACAGGACAGCGCGAGAAAATATGATGAAAAAGCTCATGGGTTGAGGTAAGGACAGGGAGGTTACTTACCAGTTACCATCATGGGCAAAACAAACTTGACTTGGGGAAATTAATTTAATTTTTGACAATTAATTGTAGCAGACTAGGATAGTGAGAAGTAAAACAAAACTAAAACCACCTTCCCTCCATCATCATCCCTTCCCAGGCTCAACTTCACTCCTAAATCTTCTACCTCCTCCTCCCTCCGAGGGGTGCAGGGGAATAGGGAATGGGGATTGCACTCTGTTCATAACACTTTGCCTCTGCTGCTCCTTCCTCCTCACATTCTTCCCCAGCTCCAGCGTGGGGTCCTTCCCATGGAATACAGCCCTTCACAAACTTCTCCAACTTAGGTCCTTCCCATGGGCTGCATTTTTTCAAGAACTGCTGCAGTGTGTGTCCTTTCCACGGGGTACAGTCCTTCAGGAATGGACTGCTCCAGCATGGGTCTCCCGTGGGCCACAGGTCATGCCAGAAAACCTGCTCCTCCGTGCACTATTCTCCACAGCCCACAGTTCTTGCGAGGAGCCTGCACCAGTGGGGGCTCTCCAGGGGCTGCAGCTTCCTTCAGGGCACATCCACTTGCTGCGGTGTGTGGTCTTCCACAGGCTGCAGTGTGGACATCTGCTCCACCATGGTCCTCCAGGCAGAGGACACCTGGACACAGGGGGACCACCTGCGTCACCATGGTCTTCACTGGCTGCAGGAGAATCTCTGCTCCAGCGCCTGGAGCACCTCCTCCCCCTCCTTCTTCACTGACCTTGGTGTCTGCAGAGTTGTTTCTCTCACATTTTCTCACTCCCCTCTCTATAGCTGCTGCACAGCACTTTTTACCCCTTCTTAAATATGTTATCACCAACATCACTGACTGGGTGTGATTTGGCCAGAGGTGGGTCTGTCTTGGAGCTGACTGAAACTGTCCCTGCCTGACATGGGGTCAGCCTCAGGTGTCTTCTCACAGAAGCCATCCCTGCAGACCCCACCCCTACAAAAACCTTAAACCCAATACAAGGTTTCAGAGAAGAGCCATGAGAACAATTGAAAGATGGTAAAAAGGGGCCTAATGATGAGAGAGTCTAGTTAAGTTTGCAGGGAGAAGGTAAAACATCAGAGAACAGGAACTTGGTACAAAAGGAGGCTTCAGGATAGCAAGAAATATTTAACAGACTCTAGTTGATATTAGGTAAACTCAAATAAAAGATAAGGTGGTTTGGTTTTTTTTAAACCAGTAAGTGAAATTACTAGTAAGGCAACTTGTGAAAGTATGGATTCATATGACAGGGACTTACTTTGAACATGGATTTAGTGCTTTATTAAGTAACTTGCTCTAGTTTAAATAATTCATCTGGCCTGTGTTATACAAGGGTTCACAATGCCTCCTGTCTTCACCTTTTATGAACATGATGCTGATCATCCAAGCTACCTTGCAGAAAAGACCTGTCATGAAGCATGGTTTGTAGAGGGAGGTAGTTTGATCTGAAGACTTGAAATTGTGCAAAATCACCACTTGTCTTGCTCGTTTAATTTTTGCTCTGCTGAGCTATTCTTAGTGGCCATCGCCAAATTCCGTGTGGTAGAGTTAGGATTGCATTAAAATATGGTGTATTTCTTTACTCTGTTAGTCTTGTTTTTCCCAAGGACTTTAAGGTTGATAAGTTCCTATGTCCTGTAGTGACATGGGGTATGACAGGCAAGATCTGGAGGATTTAGTAATAAAAGCAGCAGTGTTTTTCCGTAAGCCATGGCAAGTTCTCTCATGACAGCTGCCATGTTGTTTGGGAAGTTAATTTAGGGACATGCAGTAGGTCGTGGTCACTGGCACCTCTTTTTTCCTTGTCAGTGACGATTCTGAAATGGCACATTAAAAGGATCAGGCAATTTTAGAAGCTAAGCAAAACTACCGAAAATTAATGCAAATGTGGTCTGATGAGTAGTGGTCTATGTTTTGGGCACCATCCTGCACATCTGATACAGTATCCAGGCAGAAACGAATTCCAATGCAAAGGACTTCAACACTAAGGAATGTGGCTTATGTGGCTTTAGGTGGAGTGGCATGCTTCAGTCTAGCTGACAGAAGTGTAACTACATCTGGTGGTTCTTAGTTGAAGCTGTGTAAATGTATATGACAAACAAGACACAAAGGTTGAGGGAGGTTCTCCTCCCCCTCTACTCTGCCCTGGTGAGACCCTGTCTGGAGACTGTGTCCAGTTCTGGGCTCCCCAGGTCAAGAAAGATGAGGAACTCCTAGAGAGAATCCAGAGGAGGCTACAAAGATGATAAGGGGACTGGAGCATCTCCCCTACAAGGAAAGGCTGAGGGAGCTGGGCTTGTTTAGCCCGGAGGAGAGAAGGCTGAGAGGGGATCTCATCAACACGTACAAATATCTCAAGGGTGGGGGTCACAAGGACAGAGCCAGACTCTTCTCCGTGGTGCCCAGTGCCAGGACAAGGGGCAATGGGCACAAACTGAAGCAGAAGAGGTTCCAGTTGAAAGTGAGGAAGAACTACTTTCCTTTGAGGGTGTCCGAGCCCTGGCCCAGGCTGCCCAGGGGGCTGTGGAGTCTCCTTCTCTGGAGATCTTCAACCCCCGCCTGGATGCTGTCCTGTGCCCCCTGCTCTGGGTGAGCCTGCTTGAGCAGGGGGTGGCACTGGGTGAGCTCCCGAGGGCCCTGCCAACCCCCCCCCCAATCCGTGATTAGCCTATATATCCAGTAAGAGGAGCGGGGGAGATCTCTACCTGAGATAGACAAACAGAAAAAGCATTAAAATGTTGATAACTGTTCAGGTATGCTTCATGATACCTAGTCTACAAGGTACTTAATGAACTGGGACCCATCTGTCTCAGGCTAACTTACTTACCCTTCACAATTTTAGAACAAGTCATGCCCCTGGGAAGAGCAGAGTTTGACTGACTGCAAAAGGAGATGGAACATTTCCTAAGGCAGGCACCTCGGTATTTATCACTGTGTCAGAAATCAAGCTGTTTCAAGACGTTTAGATTTTGCTTCCTGTTGCCATCTCTAGTGACAAAGTACCTGATGTTGTTACCACTCTTTGCACTTTTGACTAGCTTTGTCTTCCTGTCCTTTATAAGCCATGTCTACTGATGACTTCTCTTTTGCTAATATGTTTATAGCAATGTTCAGTGTCAGCACAACTCATAGCTAAGCCTAGCTAAGAAAAGGTCCTAGTTTTGCATAATCTCTTTGCTCTGGAATGTTTCAGATTAGCGAGGTGAAACCTGAGCAGATTGACTGGGCTTTGTGTCCTGTGTTTAAGTTGTGAGGAAAGCAGAACTTGGAAAGTTGTGTCATTCTAAGCTTGGGTTTTGTGTCTTACAGACTTCTGGGACACAGCTGGACAGGAGAGGTTCCAGAGCATGCATGCATCCTATTACCATAAGGCCCATGCTTGTATCATGGTAAGGGTAGCGTCTCTGCTGTGATCTGATGGGATTTTGACTAATAACAGTCCCAGCTGACACTTGGCCTGTATGTGACTTTTTATGATTATGCTGCCTTATATTTCTTGTCTCTTCCAGTGGTTTAAAAATCTTTCCTATATTGTTCTTTCTTCTCTCACCAGATAAAACTAGTGTAGTTGGGTATGTTTCGCTCTCTTCTGTCTTTCCTGGTAGCACTCTTACTATATTCCCTGGCTTTGATGTCTTCTAAATTTCCTTGCTTTTGTGACTGTGTTTCCCTTAAGGTGGTCCATACAACTGAACATACTTATTTAGAAGCAGTCCTGTCGGAGGTGATGTGAGGAAGAGGGCATTCCTTTCTTGTTCTGTGATGTGACTGTTGGATTATGTAGTACAAAACTGTTCTGACGTGTTCTGCAGGGGTACTACATAAGACACTCTTCTCCGGCCTTCTGCCCTTTCTATTTTCTTACACTGCGTACTTCCCATTTGTTAGCTCAAATCAGTCTTGTTCCCTGACTCCTAACCTGCTTAGGTCTCTTGGTTTGTAGTGTTGCTCTAGCTTTCCATGACTCCTCATCACTTGTGAACATCCATCAACTTCACTGATATTTTAATTGTTAAAATAGAGAAGCCTCACATCTGACCCTCCTTAGCAGAAGAGATGCTAAGACAGTGCGTGTTCACTGTCATGGGTGGTAAGAGTCCTTGTTATAGTACAGAATAAGAATGTAAAGGAAAATGAGGGACTGTTCCTTGCATCATGCAAAGAAACAGGCTGGCTGCGTGTTTGAAGGCTTGCTGGATAGTCTCCCTTTTCTCTAAGGCCGGTTTCCTTAGCTGATGTCCTCCTGGGAAAATTCTGGATTCTGTACTTGTATTTGGTACAGTGGGTTGATCGGGAGCTGTCCCGCTGTTGGCCCCACGATAGCTGGTTCTTTTTTGGAAGGTGTTTGATGTGCAGCGGAAAGTCACCTACAAGAACTTGAACAGCTGGTACAAGGAGCTGAGAGAATTCCGCCCTGAGATTCCTTGCATTGTGGTGGCCAACAAAATTGATGGTGAGTGTATCTTCTTCTTTTGACCTCTCAAGATTGTGATGTGATTCTCTTCTGACCTGGCTGAGAAAGAATGTCATTCCTCTGTTAGGTGCAGATGAGTTCTTGAGTATTAGTCCCTCAGGGCTGTATTTTTCCAAATAGCTGGGTCTTCTACTGACCTTGCATGCTGTCTTACAGGCTCTTGTCCTTTTTTTACTAGCAATTAAAAATACAGATCTGATCCAGTTAAAGTTTATTCAAGTGATGTCCTTCCAATTCTGTCCTCACCATGCTGCCCATTTCATCCAGCAAGAACCCAAAAGCTGACTGGAGCAGTACCTAGACAAAAATTGCAGGATGCATTACTGGAAAAAGAGCATAACCTGTTACATGGCTTCCCCTGATGCAGTCAGTAACTGCCTTTGTCTTGCTAATTCAGCCTGCAGGTTTCCATGAGGCTCCTCTGTGCTAAAGTGTCTAAATATACCTGCTGGCAAAATTGTTCACCCTCCTCTGCAGATGATCAGATGATTCCCTCTTAGGAATGCCAGCTAGGCATTCATTATTGCTATCACTTCGGTTGTGATCTGTCTCCTGCATCCTGTGAGAGCGCATAACGCATCAGCTTTCTGCTCAGCCTCAACAAAAGAACACAGACCCTTAGGACCAGAGTCCCCTGCTGTTCTCTGTCAAGTACAGTGTCAGACATGGGCTTCCTTGCTGACATTCATGGTAGAAATCATTGCAGCTGTGAATGGGTGTCTGCACCTGACTATGGTGTCTGGGCTCCCACTGTAGTCTACAGAAGTTCATTGGGTTCAGTGGTGTGGTTTAGGGCATGATAGATCTTCCGTAATAAAAGCCTTTCCTATAGGATGTGCCAAGCAAGCCTTGAATCGGCTGATTGTACCGACTGTCCAGGAAGCCTGAGGCAAATGGACTTGGCATTGACAACCACGTCATAGACAGAACCCTGTGTAGATGAATCCTGCTCTTGGTGTTCTATGTGTGAGTGGACACTGCTCCAAGAGAGTCCTCTGCCTGGCCTTCGTTTGCTGGATTCTACCCGGACTAGGAAACGATCAGCCCACAGCTCTTAACACAGGCCCAGTCTGAAAAACAGTTGATCCGGCTTCCTGCAAAGAGGTGGGGAGCGGCTGCCTTGGCAGTGCTCGCTGGCAAGCATTTGGAGTCTGAACTGCTTCAGCTGTTGCTTCTGGGAGAAAAGGCGGATTGTCTGGAGTCATCCTCCTGTGCTGGCATACAGGCTGTCTATCTATCAAAACTATAAGCTGTCACCGCTGTGTCAGCACATCCTGTAAACACACAGTAGATTTGTTCCAAAACTAAAATAAAGTCTGTGGCCTGCTGAGCTTGGGGTAGCTGGCCCTAACTGCCTGTTAAGTAAAAATATATAGCAGTTGAGTCATTTGTACACTGTGAGCGTGCCCTTGACTCACGGGAATGTACGTAACATGGCATAAGGGCAGTGGGGCGTTCTGGTTAAAAAGGCCAAACTGGAGGGAGAGGCATGGCTAGTACTGGCCATGGTGTCCAGGTCATGTGGACACACAAAAAAAATCATAGGGATGTGCCTGGAAAACATTCACAGTTGTCACACATAGTTGAGCACCATGGATAAACCAACATGAACTCTTTTTGTGTCTTCTTGTCAACAATTTGCTGATGCTGTTGCTTTTAAAACCCTGTAGCTTTTGGGGAGGACTCTCCTAGCCTTGTATTGCAGTGAGGAGGCCCTGACAGCTAAGTCGGGCTCTGGTCTCCATCTGTTCCACCACTCCTGCACATGTTGGCATTCTGCCTACACTGATGTCTTACTGACCACTTCTTTTTTTGCCCTCAGCGGATATGAAGGTGACCCAGAAAAGCTTCAACTTTGCCCGGAAGTTCAGTTTGCCCTTTTACTTTGTGTCTGCTGCAGACGGCACCAATGTAGTGAAGGTAAAACACAGCTATTTGGCTCAGCATCCATTAGACCACTGTACAGCCCAAGGACATGGAGAATGCTGTAGGCACGGACAGCTAGTACAGCTGTTTGGCTGCTTGTGAGGTCCTGGTAGCTATAGAATATTTTTTTCTTGGGGTGTGGGAGCAGTTTCCATATGTTACAGAAACCCAGTACCTCTTACTTGAGTGACAAGCATTCTCCTTCTCATCAGCTCTTCAATGATGCCATCAAACTGGCAGTTGCTTACAAACAGAATTCAGGAGATTTCATGGACGAGGTCATGCGAGAACTGGAGGTAAGAAAGGCACTCCTCCTAAGTGATTAGCAGCTTTGCTTTTTTTTTCCCCTCAGGAAAAGCAGAGCCTGTAGCAAAGGGTGAAACTTTGCAGGCATGGACAGATTTGCCTTATGCTGGTGACTCCATGGGGTTTTTGTGCTGCTCATGTCTAGGTTGGAAGGGGTGAGGGAAGTGCCCACACTGCTCTAGAGTGAATTTGAAAGAATCACAGCAGAATGTAGCTGTTGCTGTCATGCTTCTCAGCATTTCCTTGTCCTGCTCCTTTCCAGAGCTTTGACCTGCAGAAGAAGAGTGAGAATTTGTCGGATAAAGAGGAGAGCTGCCCTGAAGAGAAGCCCCCATCTGCCTAAGCCCTGGACCCTGAGTCTGGTTTTTTCCTTTGCTTGAGATTTTTGGGGCTAGGTAGAGCTGGCCTTCACAGAGGAACGCGATTTTTCTCATGCCCTGAGAGCTCTGGTGATGGGCAGCTGGGCCTCCGCCCTTGTTGTGGGAGACTCTCTGGGCATGACCCTCCCTGACTCTGCCCTAGCCACTGCACGTCACAGCCAAGGAAAGGGCGAGAACATCCACATGGTTGCTAGCTACTGTATGCTGCTTCAAGGCAAAGCTTGCCAGGAGAGCTAAGCCACTCTTGGACCTGCAGGGAAGGGTCCCGCCCAGATGCTTTAATGGTACCTACTGGAGAAAACAAACACTAAAGAATTTTTTTTTATAAAGCTTTGAGCTTGCATCCTTCCTGCACTTCTGTATAAGGCGGTGCAAGTCCAGCCGCCAGCCCTCCCCATCGCCTTCACAGCCTAGCCAGTGCTGCTTCTCTATCCACTTCTGTCAGCTCCGCTGCAGAGTATCTTTGGTTTTCCTTCCCCATGCTGTTACAGAGCAGCCAGCTCCAGGAAACTTCTGAACATGGGGGATTTCTCCTTTCAGGTCCACTAGAGCTGAATCAGGTGGACTCTCACACTCAGGAGGCTTGTCCTACCGCAGCCCGATGGATGTGGCTGCTGCTGTTCCCATGTGCGTATTAAGGGACTTATGCTGCGTTCCAAAGAGCCAGATAAACAAACACACACACAGACTTACACAATTAATGTGCACGGCAAAACAGACTGACATAGAGCAATGCCATGTACACGTAACCACCACCTACATGAACATGAACACAGTCCGGTCCTTTTCTGCCTTTCCAGATGATCAGGATCGGATGTTTAAGAGTGAAGCATAAACACGCCTTCACTCCCTAGATTCATAAGCACAGCATGTTCATAGATCCCTCAAATAACAGTTTGGAAGTTAAGTCCATGTAATGTCTGTGGCTGGATGTCAAGCTCCTTACCCAGTCATTGATGCAAACCTTGTGTCTTTGTAGATCTGCGTCTCCTGCGTCATGAGGGAGTCCAGTTCCAAGTTCACTGGTGCATTGTACACCCACACAGGGAACCCAACAGTAGCCAGCCTAAGACACTGTGATTACATCTGTTGTCCCCAAGACCTCGAGCTCCCTATGACCTGTGTTCCCTTCTTCTACTGCACCCTCGCCCTCCTCCCTGACCAGGCATGGCTTCAGCCCTTCTGAGCGGCTCTTTCCCCTTGTGCTCTACTGTCTGACTGCAGCCTCGTTTTGCAGGTGCCGGACATGGAAGCCCTTGCCTTGCACAGGAGACTGGAGGGTGACATCAGCGAGGCAGACCTTGGCCTCCTACAGGACATCAGCTGGTCCTCCAGCTGGGAGCACAGAAAGGAATTAACACCCAGCAGCTTGTTACCAGTTCTCCTCCCCTGTCTGGGTGGACCCTAGGGGTCCTAGGGGTCCCTAGGACTTGGCTTTGCATCTTGAAGGCATCAAATTCTGTATCAGCCTCCTCAGTTTGCCTTCTACAGCTGTATGCTGGAGCCTTGCTCACATGGTGGAGTGCAGGGTAGAAATGCATGAGCCAGCTACGCACATTGCATTTGCTGAGCAGGCCTAGGCTGCTGGAGGGTAGAGAGCAGTGGCTTGAAGAATGGCAGCCTCAAAGCTTGTGAAAGGCGCAGGGAGCTTCCCACTGCTATCCTGGCTTGTGGGGATAGGCCTGAGGCACGCAGCTGAGAGCACAACCTGGTCCCTAGGATGACACAGGCTCTGTCTGAAAGTGGAATAGCTGCTCTCAAGGCCCTTGAGGCATAGCATGGCTTCATAGGCACCACAACCGGGCACAAACTGGACTTAAGGCTGCTTTGTTTTTTAAATTGACCTCACAGTGGTGCCCCATATCTGCTCAGAGCAGACAGAAGGCAGCCTTAGAGAAGATGACTTCTCTTCTGTGGATACTCTGCTATTCCAGCACCAGATTTTTCAGGTGGTTAAGGGGGATTGACATGAGAGGTGGCCACAGTTCAGACAATTGAAGGAAGGGCTGGGGTCCTTTTGGGGAGAGGAATCTGCCAGGGAGGTGGAGAAAGGGAGGAGTAGAGGAAGATGAGGGGGATGTACAAGCCTGGAAAATGGAGAGAAGGGGGGACGGAGGAGCCGGTCACACACAAGCAGACTGGTGGTCAGTTTGTTTGTTCGCCTGAGCCCTGCACCTAGTCACCACGATCCGTCCTGCCTTCTTCATGAGAGAGATTCCAAATCCTTTCCTGTGTGGCCCTACTCTGTACCTGGTGGGGGGCGGGTCCAGAGGCCTGGCTGCTAGCAATGGCAGAAGGGAACACAGGTCGTGGGGACCCAGCAGTCGGCAACCCCCGAGTGTCCTGGGCCGGCTACTGGTGGGAGCGCTGTGTGCGTGTTCACTACTTGCGAATGGGAAGCTGGGCTAGCTCGCAAGCAAGAGGAGAGATCTTTCCAGCCATGTGGATGGCATATGGTTGCAGCCCACCTGATTGATCAGCCCCAGCATCCACAGACCTTACAAGAGGACAAGGAGTGCCAGCTACTGGCCACATGTCCACTTCTGGAGTCATGAAAGACTTGCAGGTGCTTGAGCTGCTTCCCACCTAGGCATGTCCTCTCTGCACCAGCTGCACAAGGTCCTGCCTCTGAAGCTGCCAGGACCATTCATCCCATCCTCCTCTTGGCCCCTGGCAAGTGATGGTGCCGCAACTCCCAGCTCTATTCCCACCCAGGGGTGCACAGCATGCCTCCAGATGAGCTGGGATCTCTGGACACTGGGGCATGCCCTTTGCTTCATCTTGATCATGGTTTGAAAGGAGCTCTTCTGGCACTGGAGATGATGCTGTATCATGGCCCCTCCCTGAACAAGTCAGGGTTTCTCTCAAGAGGCCTCAGCTTGAACATCCACAGAGCACAGGGTCCACTGACCTGCACTCCTAACAGGGCTGGTAACCTCCCCAACCCACAGTTTGCTACCCCAGCACTCCGTTAGTCAGAGGTGTCACTGAGCCAAAGCTGCAGGGTAGCTCTAAGGCTGAGCTTGGTTAGTTGGGCGCAAGGGGGTCTGGTGGGTTTGGGATAAAGTTCCAGTGTGGAGCAACTGCAGGGGATAGAGCAGCAAGAGGCTAGGAGCAGCGGCAGCAGGAAGGCTTAGGAGTGCAGTTTGGTACGCAGCAGGGCTGCAGGGCAGGATCCCTCCCTTTCCTAATCTGGCTTTCCCCAAACTCCATGCGTTGTTCAAAAAGCACTTTCTGCAGTTGGATCTCCTTCAGGACTTGCAGAACCTCTGGCCCTGCACCGCCCTGCAGCAGATCATAGTTCTCGGCTGGGTCTGATTCCAGATCAAAGAGCAGTGGGGGCAAGTGGGGGGTCAGCGGGGTCAGCCCGTGGCAGGCCTCGTCTGGGGTCGTATCACTGTGAAAGGAACCTGCAAAAGAAATGCCCAGGTGTAGCTCAGTTTCTTCTCTTGGAGCTTTGGACAGCAAAACCATGTGGGACTTCACAAAGCTGCCCACACAGAGAGGAGGCAGCACTAACCTTGTGTGAAGTAATGGGCCTTGTACTTCCCAAGCCTGACAGCGAAGGGGCCGTGCAGTGGATCAGGGGATGGCGGGTAAAAGAACATCGTCTGACGGGGACTCTGTGGGAAGCAGCAGAGCTCAGTTCACCTATGCAGCCACGAGGCTGAAGAAGGGCCTGGAACGGACCAGGCAGAGACTCTGGGGAGTCACATAGGAGCCCCAATACTACAGCCAGAACGTGGCCAGAGAGGGGGGAAGCTGACGAGCTGCAGCATCCCATTTGCTCCCTACTCAAAGCTAGCGGGGCTGTGTCTATCCACTGCAGCCATGGGGGTTTGGCTTGGCAACACGTTGCAGGTGCTAGAGCTGAGCAGCCCGGGGAACCCCAGGAACTCCATGGCATGATGCAGGCCAGACAAAAGGTCCCAGCTCATGGATCTCCCCTGACCCCCAGCTGGTTCTACCCATCACGCACACAGCTTCAGCCCCACACCCAGCCTTCATGCACAACGCCAGCCGAACCAGCCCGCAGGACTCACCTTCCCTGACCCAAACAGCACTGGACTCAGGTCATAGCCATCCAGGGCAACTTTGGGAAGAGCTGCTCTAGCCAGGGTAGTCAGGGTTGGCAGGATGTCCAGGGTGCTTGCCAGCTCATGCGTCACTCCTATCAACCACCACAGCAAGGCACAAGGAAAGGTTCAAGCACCTGATCCCACTCCCATCCCTACCATCCTCGCTTCTCTCCCGCCCTCTGCTTGTCCCGGGGCAGCTGAGCTGCCGCGACACCCCTGTCTTGGCTGGCATCAGCATGCAAAAGGCACAAGCAGTGCTAGCTCTCACCTGGAGTGATACGTCCTGGCCAATAAGCCACTGCTGGTTCCCGCATGCCACCTTCATATGTTGTGCCCTTCCCACACTTCAGAAGGCCAGAACTGCCTCCACGTGCCATCCGCATGGTGGAAGGGCTGTGAGAGAGAAGAACCACGTACCATGAGTTTCACAGGTTCATGCTACCCCTTCCCTGATGCTGCCAATGGGGCCGTGACAAGAGAGACATGGTGCCAGCGAGTGATACTGCCAGTCCTTCTCAGTCTTGTGAGGCAGGAGGCATAGGGCAGGTGAAAAAGGGAAGGTGTGTGAGATGCCTAAGCAGGGCACCAGAGATCGATGCCACTCACACACGAAGGGAACTGGGGTATATTTGGGCTGCTGCATGCTCCTGGCCCAAATGCTGTGAAGTTTCTGCCCACAAGGAGGGATGCAGCTGCGTCACAGGAACAAGGAGATCATGCACCGGATCCTCTCCAGAGCAGTGTCCATCTCTTGCCTCACTTAGGTCACTGGGGTCTCATCTGGCAATGCCACACCACGTCCCTTTTGCCCCAGCCAACCAACACTTCATTCCAGTTCCCCCATACCATGGCAGCAGAACCTTAACAGTGACAAAGCCCCCCCTGCTGAGTCCACTCACCCATTGTCAGAGGTGAAAAACACCAAGGTTGTGTTTGCAAGGCCATTTTCCTGCAGTGCTTGCAGCAGCTGTCCCACCGAGCCATCAAACTCCAGGAGTGCATCACCAAACGGCCCACGCCGTGACTGCCCTGCATACTCCTGGCTTGCAAATTGGGGGTAGTGCGTATGCTGGAGAAAGGGCAGAGAAGACTGCTACGCAAACTCCCAGAGCTGCATCTGGTTCCCAGTACACCCAGGGACAGTGAACACCCCAGCTAGCACATGGAGTTATGTGACAATACCCATAAGATGAGAGAAGGCTTGTCCCCAAGCGTCAGAAACATCTCTCATAAATGGCATAAAGGAGCTGAGCCCCAGGAGAGGACGCGGAACCCCAGAGTGGAGAGTTTTCCCGCATGGACTCCCGGCCCAGAGAAGCGGGCAAAGCTGCAGAAAACAGCAGCTTTATGAGAACAGTGCTGCCACAAGACCTGGGTGTGGCAACAGCAAGCTCAGGTCATCCAGAGGCAGGTATTACTGCTCAGAACAGTTCTGGGAGTCCTGCAGGACCTGACCTGAGATGTTTCCTTGCTCTCCCCACAGGGCAGAGGCTCCCTCCCCCACCCTTGGGCCCACAGCAATCCTCCCCCTCTCCTACGTGGGAGGCATAGTAGAGCAGGAAGGGGAGGCGATGCTCTGGTTCCAGAGCAGCGGGACTGGCACTACGCCTTGGTCACAAGTCCCAAAACACTTGATGTCAGGCGGGAAGCAGGTGAGATTCTGGCAGGGGCCCTGGAGAGAACAAATAACACTTTGTCTTTTACCTGTGTTGCAGGACAGCAAGGGGAAGATAGCAAAGAGTCTCACAGCAGCCCACCACCAGGTCCCACAGGCACCCTTTGGGCAGCCAATCCCAGAAGCCCAGAAGTCTGTGCCCACCCTGGAACTGCCCGAGGACCACGCTGCCCCAACATCATTTTCTCCTGGCAGCAATTCAGATGTTTCTTTGTAGCCCAGAATTTGACCCTCCCTCCCTTGACCCTCCCATGCACAACCGCCACCCACGTTCTGCAAAACTGCCCTACCATATGAGCACCTCAGAGGGGGGCATTCCCCACCAGCATCATCTCCCCAGCCCAGGCAAGCACTCCCACCCGTCTGCCCAGACAAGCACCAAGCCGGCCTATGTGATCTCAAGCAAGCTTCATCTTTCAGGCACTCTCCCCAGCCAGCCCTGGGACACCCTTCAGGGCTTGACAGGCCTCTCACCTGGTCATGGGAGTAGGGCACCCCCAAGAAGTGGTCAAAGCCCTGGTGGATGGGCAGGAAGGAGCCATTAATCCCTAGGCCAAGGTGCCACTTGCCAACCATGGCTGTGGCATAGCCCTCAGCCTTCAGCACCTCTGCGATGGTGACCTCAGACAGCGGCAGGCCTCCCCGTGAGTCTGGATTGAACACACCAGGGTAAACCCCAGAGCGCATCTGGACACGTCCAGTCAGCAGGGCCGCCCTGCAGGCAAGAGTTGACAGAGAGAGTGGAGACAGGCATCGCAGATCGTGGTGCTCGACCTCCACAGAGGCCCCGTTCCTCGGGACCTAGCAGCTTGGCTGCCACTGCCACCTCCCCTGTCTGCTCGGACATGCAATCAGTCCCCTCACAGAGCAGGCGGACCTTCGGGCCTCCTGGAACACGGGCGTTTTTATCAACCACCCGTTCCTCCCAGCACTGCAGCTCCCCAGCTGGGTGAGCAGCTCTGCCTCCACGCTTCCTTCATCCCCGCTC